TACTTATTTATACAATTTTTATTGTAAATGATTGAATAAAAGTTGATGACTTATTTCGTCACTATATATATGAATGAACCAATGCTTATGCTCTGTAAGTGGTTGTCTATTTCATATGAGTGATTCATTGATAGCGTGACAACATTTATTGTCATATTTTGAACCTAATAATGGGATTGGTGTGATTTTTAAATAATTGACCTACAATTACCACTAAAACTAATCATTATAATTTAAAAATATTTTCCCAAAATAAATTCCCCTTCCCACACTCTTGTATTTTCCGTAATTTCCCTCTATTCTCCGTAGCGGCAACATGGGAATTCAAGGAAGTTTGAAAATCTGCCGTTCATTACTTATATATAACTAAATTGTAATAATAAGTTATCATAATAATTAAGTTAATATAATAATAATTGAATTAAATAATTCTAGATGTAAATAACATAATAGAAAGTTTCTATTAGAAACAATATCTATATCATAAATAGGCATAATATAAGATCGCAATCATTATTGTAATCACAATAAGCATTCAACATGTATATAACTTATAATAATACATATAAGTTTAAGTTAAAATTTGCGATACAATAATATATGTATAGCTATTTGTCCGTCACGCTAACCCCTTCCCACCTCTAAATTACCTATAGTAAATGTTTTTTATAATTGTTAAATAATATTTTGTATACATTTACTTATGGGAGTTGAGATGGGGTTTGTGGGGAAAGGCGTATGACAAAATATATCCAGGTAATAACCATCACTCAATTGTCTGTACGTGTAATCGCTTTCAATATAACACTTCATTTGTCACCAAAATATATCTTTCATAACATTTATAATCATTTATTAAAATATGTTTTAATTAGCAAATCGTATCCGATATATAACAGTCTGTTTGTGATAAACATTTACATAAACTTTTTGCCATATCGTAACCTAACTGTTCGGACAGTCATAATAATAAAATACATTGTAATACAATATAATAATGTAATATTTCCTGCTATTCCCAACATGTTAATTTGCACATCAATTTTGTATAATAATCAAATGGCTATAACTAATTATTATAATAATCATGATGTAAATACTCGTAATTTATATTTGTATTTAAACATTATAATATTTAAGCACCAAAGAAATAAATGCCATAGTTTTCAATAAAAACTATTTATAAATAAGATATAAAGTATAGGTGTCTGATGTCCAGAGAGGTTACATCCCTTAATAACATATCCACCACTAATATAATACATTAATTATTAGATAATCATAAATCAATGCCTATAAATAAAGTCTATATAAATTAAATGCTGACAATTTAACAAATATATAATTATAATTTATAATAATAAGTCAATATATAAATCTAAAACCTAAACTATAATGTCATAAAAAAATTTGCGTTGTATATATGATGTACACTTTATAGTTAGTGTACGTTATATCCAATCAATCATGGTAGATCGTTGATGCTACACATGATATACTGTACACTGTATATTATACAGTCTACGCACGGTATTAGATACTCAAATTGCTTGTATCGCTTTGCGTGCGGTCAAAGGGCACGGGGTGTCTGTCATCCGAGTCCTTATCGGCGCCGCAATCGCTGTCCGATTCGTTAATATCAATGTCGTCCTCGTCTACGGCCAGATCGTCGCCGTCGTAGTCGTGTCCGTCCGACGACCCGTTGGCCTCAGCCGCCGACGACTGGCCGTCGGCCGACTGACTCTCCGACGCCCGGCTGATGCTAAATACCGGCGCCGAACTCAGGCTAAACCGATCTGTAGTAACAAAAAATATTGTTAATAATGTAATTTTTATTATCAAGAATATTCTGGACAGTAATAAACATGTGTTGAACTAAATATCTATCATATTTAGTATATTTTACCTAATTTAAGCATATGTTAATTTGTACAGATATTCAAACGTTGTATACTATATTAATAGGGATGGGATGGGGGCGGGGCTAAGCGTGCAAAATGATCTGGATCTTACCCGATCTGGACTTGTTTTTAATACCGTCATCATTGGGCTCCTGGCTCTCATTGTGCAGCCGCTCGAGCTTTTCATTGCGTTTTTGCAATGCGTTAACACTGTGTACGAGTGCGTCCTTCTCGTCCTCGCAAGCCCTGAGCCGCTGCTCCAGCCGTCGGATTGTGCTCTGATAGCCGTCGCACTGGGCGTCCGCCTGAGCGCACTTCGACTGCCATTCCTGGCACCGAGCCGTCAGCTCCTCGACAGCCTCCCTGTCCGTCGTCTCCATGTGTTGAGACTGTTGGCTATGTTTAGCCTTATGGCCACCAGTGATACTACCGGCCCGACTCGGGCTACCCGTCACCGCTGGCCGACTATTGGCCGCTGATATAATAGACAGCTCCTCCTGAAACACCCGGTACTCCACTTCGTATACCCGGAGCTGTGCGCTAATGTCGTACAGCGCAAACACCCGGTCATATATAGCCTCAATGGCCGCCGTGTCCATCGCCGGCACCGACTCTTTCAAGTACTCCATTATTGTTTCAAAGCAGTCGCACTGCAATATACTGGCCGTGTGGTTGTCCAGTATGACCAGCGATACACGGAATATGGCCTCAATGCCCATCAGGAATAGTATGTCTGTGTATGGGTGGGAACACCCGGGTATATAAACATACGTTAAATTAGTTATAATGTGTTTTTTACTACAAAATATTTTATATTTTTGCAAAACCTTCTGATTATTACAGAATATTTAGTGTATTTTTTACAAAAATAATTTGTTAGATAAGTAATTGTGTTGTACTGACCGAATAGCCGCGTGACAAATGATATGGAGAACTGGGAGGCGAATAGGGTTAGAAACCAGGGCGCGGCATATAGGGTGGGCGATATGTCGTGCGCCTCGAAGTGCTGATAAAGGGGCCGATTGTAGTCGTATAGTAAACGAGTTAACTGATAAAATTGCATCTAGAATAAAATGTACATTAAATTGTTTGGGTTATTTAAATGATCTAGGAAAAAGTAATGTAGCGTGATTAATTTGTTTTGTTTGGTTATGTTTGTTTAGTTCTCTCTATCTCTCTCTCTCTCTCTCTCTCTCTCTCTCTCTC